AACTCCGAAACAGTAAGTCTGAAATACTCTTTTTTGTGATTCTCTCATTCTTCAGATCAAGAGATTACGATGTTCTGGTTTAAACTTGTCATCAGAAGCTGTAAGATCTGTTAGGTTGATCGAGGCGAGAGTTCAAGGGTTATGAAAGATATCGCAAGACAATTTCTCTTATTGAAATCGAACAGCTGTCGATCTAGTATATCACAAACCTGATGTATGAAGCATGCTTTATGTGATACTGTCGCATCTTGGAATCCCGTAATTGGAGTCTACCTGATTCGAGAAATACAGACTTTTTTAGAAAAACGTTTATAGACCTCAGTTCTAACGTCATAGCGAATAATGAAAATCAGTGATTAGGTATATTATTCTGCCCAATCATGCAACATGCTGTTGTAATATAACACTGCTTTATCACTTTAGATGCTTAAGCATCTAGCACATTAGGGCACGCGCGTGCGCGCGTATTTAGCATCTGCGGGACGGATGCATGGCGTATTATTGTCACTTTTGCATCATTCATGCTTCTTGATAAGATTATGATAGATGAGTTCGAAAGACCGGAGAATATCTGTATTCTCTCTTTTTAAGTTAGTGCTGAACTTATTAGTTTTTTGCACTTTCTCTTTTGATACCTGATTGATGGGGCGTAATGGCATCGTCCTCTAGTCACCCAGGGAACCATTATCATTCATTTCTTTTTTCAGATTCCTGTATAAGTTTAACAGAACATGCCAGTGATCTTCAGTTTATGTTGAACGATTGCCTCTTTGCTGGTCTTAAGTCGAAGGACCATCGCTCATTAGTTTCATCCGCATCTCGTCTTTCATATCGCAGTAACGTAGCACAGAACCAATAGGAGAACTGTCAAAGTTAGCACAGCAGATGTTGATGCAATTTCTGATGCAACGGGTCTTGCTTTCTTGGTTTAATATTTGTGCAATATTTTAAATATCCTTATGCTTAGCGTATCTTCATTCCATAGGTTTAACGAATCATCCAAATTAACGGATGGTAGCGAAGAACCTGGCAAAGACTTGGCACTCGGCGGAGAACTTTTCGACCTGTCGTTTTTGTTACTCAGTCGAATAGCCCAACTGTATTCTGCTCAGGTGTGGAGCGCTTCGAATATTTTTGCAGTTGATGCTATGAAATTGGTAATTATCTTGATTTAAGCAGATTCTCTACCCTTTGCCGACCTCTCAAAGCTTTTTCGAATCGTGGTGCAACCGTTACTGTGTTCTTTCTACCCCACCGTCAGACAACGTTGTGTACATGCCGGGTCAAGCTGATCAAAACGAAGACTTCCGCGAAACGTTCAAGTGGCTGAAGGCAGGCCAGAATCGTTGGGTGGCCGGAAAGTAAGTATAATATATGATGAATAGGGCGAATGATTTTTATTGAGGTTTTATTTAAATGCTCCAAGTTTGATCCTGCCCCTGTTTAAGTTTAATTCCACCAGCTCATTACTTTATGTCCGGATATATCTGAAGACTTTGGATAACCGGTTTTAATAGATTGTTTACAGGGAACACTTTAGGAAGGCTGAATAAGAATCTTGATCTTTGCCCCCATCATATAGCGCAGAAATGTCATATTTTCAGTAGCATATAGTATCTGGGACTGTGTTTATGTTGCCAAGATCTTAGGTTAGCGGAACACAAAAGTGTCTTGATGATGTCCAAGTTATGTTTCCGGGATATGTTTCCCAACCCTGTAAAATTGTTCATTACGTTAATGGCAGCGATGACACGGTGGTAAATTTGCGTTGCCAAAAAAGCAGCTCTTGATCAGCGAGTTGCTTCACGTCGCGTCTGACCGAAAAGAAATCTGTGACAAGTGTGATAGCTCTTTTAATAATTCCATGATATGGAGCCAGTTAATTTTGTAATTAATCAGGCTGGAGCACCATTTCTGAAAGTCAGACATCATAAATCTGGGTTACTGCGCTGTTTACACAATGTTAGTCTCAGATGATGATGGCAAAACAAAAACGGTGATCTCATCAAGTTAGAATCAAATGTCCCACCAGCTCTATCAGACACAAACTCGCTTAACGAAGTTACATATTTCCATATATATTTAAATATCTATTCCCTAATGATGTTCGATCGAAACGACGAATTTATTTTTTATTCTGCTGACCATGGAATTGTCGGACGTTTCTGCTTCCATTTATGCAGGGCATGGGATTATTCAAAGTGTAAGAAGTTGTTTAGGGCGAATAATCATTCACTACTTTTTATTTGGGCTGTCTTCATTTGTCTATTAAGTTTGAATAGTCAGCCCAGTAAGATCTGGCTTATTTAAAGCTAGCTGAAGCTGCTGGAGGTTTCCGGTCTGACAAGTGCCTTTTATATTTCGCTAATTACCATTCTAGACATTTTGTAGATCCAACCTCGTATTATTAATGGAAATGGATGTCCACTAACGCTGAGGACTGTTGTGAACTGAGAGACAGTAGATGAGACTAATCAGGCTGTCATGGCTAAAAAATTGCATATCTTGTTTCTTTGAATCTGTCTAATACTCTGGACGAGAAAGTTAGAAGAGTTTTGTTTGAAGATCACTCAGAAATGCAGTCATGCAGTGTGTTAGACTCGCAGTTCGAATGCTGACTGTCAGTTCCCGTGCCGGTCACGTCATTCATCTTACATCTGTCTGAACCTGTATGTACCACTATGTGAGAAGACTACACTTGAGCACCTGCCTGTGGATGTTGCCTGTAACAAACAAGTCACTACTCATTTTAGTGTCGAATCGCAGATTAGCGTCACGCCATTAGCTGCGTGAAAAAATGTCCTAAAACGGGTAATTAGGCAGAGGAGAAGAAAAGGAATCGGGATACAACAGACGGCGATTAAGATTGTAATCGTGATGACGATTGGACTGATGATTTTTGCAGTGATAATGAAGATAAAGATGACTAACGATAGAAGATAGGGGTGAATTTGATGGTAACGATGACTGTGATAGTGATGGTGATAACGTAATATTAATGATGAGGAAAAAGTAGGAGAAAAAAATAACAGCGAAAATTATGATAGCGGTAGTGTTAATGGTTATGATCACAATGAGATGATGAATCTTCTTACAAAGACATCCATAACTTAATCAATCTCCTTACCTTGAGTAGGGCTCATGACAGACGGGCCGAAACATAGTAGTGGTCAATTATCTGATTAGCCATGTTGTTTGCGTTACGTATAAATGAACTGTGCTTTATGCTGTTTTCAGTATCTACCACTGACCAAGAGAACAAGAAACCATTAATTACAGAACTTGCATACTTAGTTTCCCAATAACATAACTGATCAGTGGCAGTTTTGCCCTTACAAAACATTTTAATGCTGGGTATTCAGGCGTTTGTTCCTAGGCAATTAGCCAACGTAAAATTTAAGCTTTTTCGTTAGAGGCAGCCACAGCTTTTTCTTCTTTCCAGAAAGCCGTGCTTTAAACTTCGGCTTTTACAATGCTTATTTAATGTGAACCTGCGGTTGTAGAAATTAAATTTCATTAATTGACCTAGAATATCGTGAGGCCTTTTTGTTTATGTTCCTGCAGATCGATGTGTTTTACTTTATGTTTGAACAGGTTGTTCCGCTTTAGGCAGTGACATTGTTTTGCTTTCACGCGCTACAGGTGCTCAACCATTGCTGTTGAATTGTGGTGTACGTAGCGGATCTTAGTTTGCTCAAAGTTATGACAAATTATGATTTCCTTGTGCGAATCAGGAGAAGCGCATTCGTAAGCTAAGATTTTTCCTGTGTCGAAGCTCATTAGAAACTTTTAGCTAACTGTTTTATGTGAAAGCTATAATGTACTCGTTTTGTGAATCTTCAGAAACTGGAACGATATCTGTGAGCAGATCCCGTTGATCGGCCAAGCGATTCTGAATGAGCTGAAGAAGGACTCACTAACGGGTGAGGAGATGACGGTAAGGACCATATGTTCTATATCTTTGTCATGCAACTTTTTGCAACGTTTTCAGAACGTGTTCATGGGCCTACTGTGGGTCAAAGTGAACGGTGTGCAGTGGATTTGCTGTCTTTTGCTATGCTTAGCCCAATGGATCGTGCATTGCAAGCCCAGTGAAGAGCGAAAGAAGTTGGCCACCTATCTCTTCTGTTTTATCGAGACTCACGTCCCTGGAAATGAACGCACGAAAGTTACAGAAAGGTACACTGTACAAATTTCGTTGCCGGGTTTTCGATTTACACCGTTTACTGATTCTTAGTAAGCTCTTAGGAGAGTAAACGAGAATTGCAGCCTGTAAGGGGCACCCATCAAACTTCATGACCTTTGCCTACAAATCTGCATACCCTCTACACCAGAATAATACGCTATTCCTGTTGTTTGCAGGTCAGCGATTTGCTATCGCAGTCTAAAGTGCTGGGTCAAACTACTACCAGTGACGACGTTGCCAGCTTCTACGACGTTTCTCTTGTCATTTGTCCTATCCACCAGTTCATGCAATTAGTTGTGGCTCTGTTTAATCATACGCATGAAGTACAGAACTCGAGGTGATAGGCAACGGGTTCGAATCACGCATGAGTTCACTTGCCCTTGATTTTTCTTACTGAATTAAATAAATACCTATTTGTGAAGAAGAAGTCGTATTCTGCCAAAATATTGTAAACAACCATCAACATAGTTAAGTAACGGCTTAAAATGCACATGAGCTGACTGTAATAGACGTGAGGTACTCTCAAAAGAGTACCATGACTGATGTTTATCGTGGAAGAACAGTTTTAAGATCTATGGTTAATAATTTACCTTTCTTTCCTTCCATATAGACATGGTTTAATGCATTTTTTGGAATAGCGTTCCTTCGCTCATAATCAGTCGAGCAGATTGCTTATTGATACGTGGTTCAATGCGATGTAAAGCAGGAGTACTGGTTTTGCTTTATGATCAACTG